ATATAATAAGGCACAATTCATTTAATATGGTTGGATTTATTATTGTTGATGAACACGCTTCCAAACAATCCAACATTTTAAGATTAAACAATAAAATGACGTAACTTAATTAAATTAAGATTAAATATTTAAAACGTGTTTAGCCTGTATGTCGGGTGCGACGATGGGGGGGGGGGGATATACGTTTAAAATTGTATGAACTAATCAGTTCGAATGGTTACGGTAACAAGGAAAACACCGCGTGTTTGTAGGTTTTTTATTGAACATTATTGGTGTCTCATGGATGAGTTGGTACAAACGCAATCAACTTCTCAGTTGAGAAACCGGCGAATTATAACCAGCATAGTTTCCTTGAATGATTTTTTTTCTACTACAGATTGGCTTCCCGAGTAACAAGAGTAAAGACTCCTTTTGGATCAATTCCGAAGTCCATGCGCGTGAATGGATATCAACGGCCGTTGCCCTTTATCTTGCCAACCAAGTAAGCTAAATTGTTGTCATATTAAAAACCTTAAGGAGGTGATTAGCCGAGGATTGTCGTATCATCCTCTTAACAATGAAACCATGGGCAATTACCGGTTTAATCACAAGAAACCTGTCCATAGGGCAACTTAATTGTTTGTCAAATATACCTACTTAATCGTTTGTTTGGAATACAAGCCCGTACTTCATTTAATTTGATTTTGATAATTTTATCGGATTTGTGTCATTTTGTTTCATTATAATCGTGGTTATGCATTTCTAAATCCCAATTCATCGTCATCGTTTCCGTTAGATTGTCAGCGAAGTCGGCGTGGATCCCGTAGTGGACGAATTGTTGCGCGTGTATGATTGGTACGTGATGCCAGTATTAAATCCAGATGGATATGTTTATACGTGGACCACGGTAAGCTGAGGATTTTTACCATGTAATGTTGTTTTGTTCATGTGTGCGACATATATAATGTCAACATGGAGTGTCCGCGCTCAAGTATATATTGAGCGAGTATATATTATTTTGAAACACTTTTTTTATTAAGTTGCGCCCTCTAGCGACGAAAGCTCACGCGACTCCAAAATGGCGTAGATGAGGGTAAGCAATGTGGTTTAAATAAAACAACTATATTTAGATGTGTAGTCTTTCGTCATTTATATTGTGGTAAATTAAAAAAAAAATATTTTGTTTTGATTAGCAATAAAAGATAAAAAAATATCGATGCTATGAACGTCATCCTTAATGTACATTTCACGTCACTGAAAAGCTAAATCGCTTGAGGGCGCGATTTATAGAAACGGTATTCTGTCAAGGAGTATAAATAAAAGCATGCCGTTCAATGATTAGAAGGTACTGAATTAATATAATAATATTCATGATATGTTTTATTGCCTTTAGGATCGGCTGTGGAGAAAAACTCGTTCCATGAATATGGGCACAACATGTGTTGGTGTGGATGGTAATAGAAACTATGGGTACAAGTGGGGAGGTAAGTTACACACCTATACTCAGACACCCCTCTATTCGGAAAAAAATGGGCTTGAACAAATTGGGCTATCATGATGAACAACGTTGAATAATTACCATGAATGGATCTACTTATTGTTGAAAAATACATAATTTTATTATGTGACTTCAGTTTTATAATGATTTTTTGTACCGTTGTACCATATTCTATAAAACAGTTAACTAAAATTCGTCCGCCAAAATCAAAATCGGAAAAGTTGAAAAACGTGTTTGAAACCACTTGCGGCAATGAATGAAAATAAAACATTATTTTTACCAAGACAACGAGATCCAAATCTCGACCTACCTCTAAATGATTGGTACTTATTTTCAAATTGCAACTCCTCCTGAATATGTCACTCATCTATAACTTTCTGAGTTATCCTGCTTACAGACAGACAAACAAGCAAACACACAAACGCACGCCTGTTAAAATATAACCTCATTGGCGATGGCAATTATAAAATACAGCCTCATTTCTGTAGTCAAAAAACAAATTTATGCAAAATAATTCTAGGCTCGTTTTGCACAATTTGTCAAACAAACAGTTCATGGATACATTTTTGGGTTTCAGTCATGATAGCAATTTATGCATAACTTAATTTATTTTACTGAGAATGTTGTGTCTTTTTCGTGATGTTTAACAAATCCCGACAGGTAATTATTAAACAGGTTAAACTTCGAGGTCCGCCGAGGCCCTGTTTCGTTACAATACAACAGTTATGGCGCGTAACTTAATGCTTACAAACAATTCCGTGACATTTTTAATAATTACCCTCCTGCTATCTTTTAATAGATCTCCGTGTTAATTTTCACTGCATTCAGTGATCCTACCATTAGAGATAACTTATTCAACTTCCAGTATGTTTAATTTGTTTAAGAAAATAATAATTCAACTGGTAATTATTAAGCATTTCATTTTAACTTTGTGTGCATAACCAGTTTTCACAAACTGGGGTCACACATAATACCTGTAATGATTTATCAAACTGTTATTCAAACTTTTAAACGTATTTTAACTAGACAAGTGGCACGAAAAAGAATAATAGTTGTCTACCATCGAAACAGATTATTATTATATTATCATGATGGTTATTGAACTACTATTATCCGTGAATATTGTGATTTTTGAGCCATATATTAGTATATAGTGTAAATATCTTATCTCAAAATTTTCGTTCGGCGGTTACAAGTGGTGAAAAAAAATCATATTTAGTAATAAGATAAATAATTAATTATGGTTGTCCCAAATTATAGACAAATTTATTTATTGATTCCTATAGACATTATTCCAAAATTGTCATTTTTTCAATCAATAAATCAATAATTATGTGACACTTGCACAGTTATTCTGTGCGGTATCGTCATGTTGGAAAAATGACTTTTTTCGTTTGTTGAAAGTTTAACCTCGAATTCATTTCCGCCTTGAATGGCCTTATTCGTGTCCTTGAATGACACCGCGTTATTATTTCTGGTGTAAGACATAAGTTCACTCGAGACTCAACGTTTGTAAATTGATTGGATTGGATCTAAGTTATTCTACCAATTAACTTGTGTCATTATTTTTTGGGAAAACTAATTATCTGAATGTCTGTCTTAGAAACTTGATGTCACGCAATTTTGGGCAGATTAGTGCGAGGTACGTCTACAAAGCTCTATCGCCGGTCTCAAGAGCCGTAGGGGATAACTCCTCGCCCAACCTGATATTGCGTGACATCATTACATTTATTTATATATAGGAGTGTCCCCGGATGGGTTCACCCACAATGTCAGTCAGTCGATATTACCCTTTACTGTTAACGTATCTGTTATTGTTGTGTGGCTTCATGATATTCGTCTTTGTACATTTATTCATGGAAGCTAGTAGGACTATTACCGTTACTATTCATGTATATATTTGTGCATATTAATCACCCTGTGGCATCCATTGCAGGAGAGGGCGCTAGTTCGGATCCTTGCAGTAACGAGTATATGGGACCATTTGCTTTCTCTGAGCCTGAAATCCATGCTCTGGCGACTTTCTTATCAAGAACGTCAAATACCAATTTCCGACTTTTCCTGGATCTCCATAGTTACTCTCAATTGTGGCTGTATCCATGGAGTTATGTCGCCGAGAACACCCCGGAAGATGATTACGAGCAACAGGTATATGTTATAGTGATGACGTAATTTCCTATCGCGTGATGAAGAATTTACTGGGTTACCGGTAATAGCAAAATTCTATATTAAATTGGGAACATTATAGACAGTACATGCTACTAATTGGAAATTGCTGACGTGCCGTGGCGTTGCTTACTTTCGATATCCGTTTTGTCTTCACAGAATCAGATGGCAAAGTTGGCAGTGCAGGCGATAGTTGAAACGCATGGCCAGACATATACATACGGCAACTCTGGCGGAGTAATGTGTAAGCATATGTTAATTTATTAGTGTCCCTCCTGTGTGAGTTATTTTTGTGTGTGTGTTTAAAGTGACAAACGCACTTGTGTCAGTAATTTTCCCATTGTGTATTTTCAGATCCAGCCTCTGGCATGAGCATAGATTGGGTGTATGGCGTTCTCGGTGTGGTGCATTCATATACCGTGGAACTACGAGATCTTGGTGAATATGGATTCCTCTTACCCGAATATGAAATAACACCAACATGCGAAGAAGCCTATGCAGCTATCAAACGAGTTGGTCAAACCCTGCTCAACGACAAGCCGGGAATCTAAAAGAGAGAGGGCCCCTCAAAGAGTATAATAACGCGAAATGCGTTGATAGTGGTGCTAGGAATCTGTGTAGCTGCCACCATAGCGAAGAATAGGAGAAATTTGTTTTCTGCAACGTTTAGTGTCAGGCGCTGATTAGAGACTTGTGTAGTACTACTATAGCCAGGAAACCGAGACTCACAACATCCCCGCCCGAAGCGTGATGACGAGCACAGCACACACGATGCACTGCTCGCTTAGTCTCATTACACGTAATAAAACTTGGATGAGAAGAGTTTTAATAAAAGCTTTTTTTTTTTTTATCTAGAGAATATCATATGATTGTTTCTTTCATTAATACTAATGTCAACTATAATATATACATTTCATCTGATTATCCTTGCGTCAAATACGAAATCAGTACGTACGAGTTAGATATATGAACAATTAGATGAACGGATCTGGGGTATATAATATGCGAAACGCCCCAAATATACATTTGGACTGTAATCAGCATTTTGCAGACAAGTTTCTGTGCGGGCCCATCAGACTGGATGTCATCATTCCACCTCGGAATACCAGAGTATAGGCATTACGAATTAAAGGTGAAATGTCAAAGCACAGAACAGCAAACATTATGAAAAATATGTGTGCGAATTATTCTTCATCAAAGATTTTGACCTCTGCAATGGTCACATTCGGGGTATGGGTCAATCCGGGCGGAAGTTGACCAATTTATTGGTGTTAAATCTAAATTTGCGATCTACTGACCACGTAACAACGATAATAGTAAATATAGTAAATATTTCATTTTAATTTATTTATCTGTTTTCTAAATTACATACTATGTCAAGAATTGGAATTACAGCTGACCTGAATTTGTTCCCCGAATTTAAAGCGGGGGGGGGGGGTGTCGTCACCTGTG